AATCTATGAAATATATTAAATTGCACTATTGTAAATTCCAAAATAACATGAATAATTTTAAAGTAAAACCGAATTTTAATATTTTAATATCAAAGAGTACATCGTTCTAGAAAATCCAATAGATGACACTCTTAATATCTCAATATTTTTCTCCTCTCTTGTATACATATGTAAATATTTATAAATGAGAACTTTTTCCTATTATTTTTTTTAGTAAAATATCATGTCTATATTTTCTCTATTATTCTCTTCTTAGGTTATGTTTATGTTATACTTATACTTTTGTTGCTGTTTTATTTTCTGCACGGTTCTATATCAAGCAATGATAGAGTCTTTTATAAAATCCTTTTTATATGAAAACGAGAAAAAATAGAGTTGGCCGTATCAACTCTGTGATACCTGTACGAATTTGTTATCCTCTGTGCGAATAAATGTGCCATATAGCTGACTATGGAATATCAGACTATCACTTTAAGTTACCGTATTACCACATTAATTTATGCAAAATTTCAGTACTGTGTTTTCAATATTTTTTAAGATATGGCCAAACTACTATTGAAGTTGTATGGCAGCTACCAGAAAGAGCCAAGCAATTTCAACGAATTTTATTAAATATATTGGCCCTCCTAATGCCAATCGCTTGTGTGAAATTTCAATACCAAAGCTTTTATAGTTTCTAAGATATAGTCAAATAAATTTTGAAGTTGTATGGCAGCTACCCGAACCAGTACTCCGATCATACCAAATTTCAATAGGGTTCTGGCTTTTACTATAATAAATTATTTGTGTAAATTTGGTCAATTTAGTTCAATTAGTTATTGAGTTATAGTTGGGGTGGACGGACAGACAAAGCTAAAATGACTGAGAATTCGACGCTGACCAAAAACATACACTTGAAATACATTTCATTGAAAAAAATACATTTCTTTGCGTTACAAACGATAAGGTAAATTTAGTATACCCTTCGAACATACGTTCGTACGGGTATAAAAAGTATCAGGTGTTAAAAACAATGTATTTTGTGTTGGTTGTAAAAAAAAATGTCTTTAAAATATTTTAGAATGCAATTTTGTAATATGAAATTTTTTTTATACATTTTTTAGTTTTTTAGTGAAGAAGCGGGAAATAAAATTATTTTAAAAGAAAATTGTTAATACAAGAAGACTTTCTCGTTGTGTCCCTTTAATGTGTTGAGAATACTATAAAAAAAAACTTTTAAAATATTTAAGTAAAATAACAATGTAGAAATATTTTGTAGATCAGCTCGTAAAAAATAATTTTTTTTCATTTTTTTAGTTTTTAATTTTTACTTTCAAAATGAAGTTGTTAATTCAAGCGAAAATAATAAATAAATTTAAGAGGAACCTCTTACATATTATGAAAAATACTGCGATTAAATGAAAGCGTGCCAGTTCGAATATTGTGCCAATAGAAGAAATTATTGTTTAACGGTTTTTCGTTGTACGTATTTTGATAAGTTCGCCGATTGACAGTATTTGCTTGAATAAAATTTTCTTGTGTCATACGTAGAACATAGTCCCATTATTCCCCTGTTATCGTCTTTAACGAGATTTAGTGTTAAATCAAAATGGGCCACGAAGTATTTAAATGTAAGCTTGTGAATTTTCAGGAGACATAAGGAGAGATGACAAGACCGTTTTTGAGTGATATACGTAAAAGCTTCATGGGAGTATGCGATCGCTGCTTGACGACAATCAAAAACATTCAAATTGTCATGTAATAGACTTATTGTAAAGTTGTAATAAAATAATATAGAATGTTTCTTTATCTTAATGGAAATTTCTTCATGCAACTGCAGAACAGATGGATGACGTAATCAAAGGAACGAGTTAAAGGCAGAAAAATTATTCATTAAAAAAATTTTTCTCCTCGAACTGGACTCGAACCAGTGACCTACCGCTTTCTAGGCGGACGCTCTACCAACTGAGCTACAGAGGCATGAAGAAATTGCCGACGAAATGTTCTCTACATTGCTTTATACTGTAATTCACATGATTACTAAGTATTTGTTTTTTTTTTTTTTTTTTTGTTTACATTGTTTTACATTAAATTAGTAGTGTAATAGGCACATTCTTATTGATTCCGCAACTATAATGTTGTATTAGTAAAATTCATAATATAGAATGTTTCGTTAAAAAATAATCGAAAGATAACAAAGACATGATTTATTTGTCACTTATTGATTTATCAGGTTGTTTTGGGTCAGGTGATCTTTTAAATAGAACAAGAAAAATTGCCAGAGAGAGTGAGAGTATCATATCCTGTGATGAGAATATATGGGGACAGCGCTACCCAGGAAGAAGACGTTAAAATACTTAGAAAAGCAACAAAAGTCAGAAAAAACTAGTAATGTTGGGTGTTTTAGCGAGTGCAGAACAAGATAAAATTTCAGGGAGCTTCGTAATATTGAGCTGTGTTGTTTCATTTTAATCTCTATGTACAATCGTCCGATTCATTCAGTTAAAAAATGGGTAACTTACTGCCATTACTTAACAAAAGGTTTTTCTTGCAAATTATACAAAATTTTTAAATTACTTTAATTTTAAAATTTTTTTGGGAACTTTATTTAAGTTTAAAACACGCGCCTTAACAAAAAGCTTTTCTTTATTAAATCTTATTCAGTAGTAGAAAAAGAAGGATAAAACAAAATCTCGAAGTTCTTTAAAATATAAATTAAACAAAATTTTTTTTTATTAATAATTAAACGGATGTAATTTTAAGTTATTAAACCCAATAACGTTTATTCTTGAATATAATGTAGCCTTCTATATTATATGAGGCTTAATCTGGAATTAATTCAACCGGGTATAAAATATTGAAAATGTTATGATTGACAAAGGATAGAGAAGATTTTTTTTTATTAATTATAGGAAAAAAATTTTTCGTAAATTCTTAAAATTTTTTCAAAAAATTTCCCGAACAAAAAAGCAATTAAAATTTAAAGATTTTTGGGATTTTTTTTTTCTGTTCTTTTTTAAAAAAAAATATATATTACAGAAATTCCTTCCTATGTTGAATAGATAAGGAAATTAAAACACTTTAGATAAAAAAATTCAAAAATATCCTTTTTCTTCTCCTTGTAATATTTAATAAGAAAAAAATTAAAAAAATTCTACGAATATTGGATAATGTGGTCATTAAATTTTGTACAAAAAAAACTTGTCATGTGTTTGAATTGAGGTCGCGATAATCAATTTAAAGAAGAGTTGCAAAAAGAGAAAATTCCAAAAGAGAAAAAAATTTAACCGAAACACAAAAGGATAAATTTCAATATCATGATTAAAAGGAAACAAGATATAGAGGATGAGACCCCAGAAAAATTTGCATATTCCTTCAATTTAATAAAGGTCGGAAACTATTCGAATAATTTTTTTTTCTAGCATCCGATTCCCTTTTCTTTGAGATACATCAAATGATCTCAATATGTTTTTTTTTTTCAGTTTTACTTGTTTTGCTATGAAATTATGGTTTATTATCCCGTTATATAATCACAGTTCTGACAGTGTAGACTAAGAAAAGTATTGTTCTCGTACTTATATTAAATAGACATTTTTAATATATGGGCCTATTTTAAAAATTAGCAATACAATATGCAACAAAATGTTCAATATCAAATCTGATACTGAAGCGTCAATGTGTAATGAGTCAGTTTTTTTGACTTGAGGAAAAGTTAAGTCAAATCTGTAACGAGCAGCAACATATTTTCCACGTGAATCTTTTCTTATATACAAATCATACATTTAATTCTGCATATGTTGATTATAAAATACGGTGGTTATGTAAAATTGAGTCAGTTATGTGCCGTTCACAAAAAAATGAGCTATTATTCTTTTTCTAGACGCTTCCATCTTGTTATTCCAGTATTTTTTGTTTTTTAAGTAAAGGGAAAATGTTTATTGTATCCTATTTAAAATATCCTTTCAAATGGAACAACAAAGTTCAAATACATAAAGGTCAGTAAGAAAAAAAGGCGACAATGATAAATTTGGTAATTTATTTTCGGTGTATGCATTGGTTTTTAGGAAATTTTGTTTTATTGTTTCCACATTTTAATAAACAAAATAAGTATTTTAAAAATTACATTATTTAAATGCAATATTGAAAAAATCTATAAAAAAAAAATTGTTATTTTACGCGGAAGAAGGAAAAAGATAGCTTGCCAATTTAAATAAAGTAAAGGAGTGTTACGTGGAATGATGGGCATGAAGGTTTGTGTCTTTATTTGATGTTATCAAAAATATTAATATAGTACAAATAAATAATTGCAAATAAGGTGACAAAATGCCCTAAAATAGTGAATGAGCTTGGCTATATTAGATGACAAAAATATTGTAAATATTGCATAATTTTAGGGGCAACAATAAAATTTTTACAGTACTTTGAAAATTGGTGGTTTGTTACAATTCGTTTGTCAAAATTAAAATTTTCATTATTCACATTTTCGTAAAATTTCAACTTTCGTTAGAAAATTCGATTTTGTGAACACATTATAATATTATCGAATATGGTGATGTTTTTTTATTTTGTTCATGGCGGCTCATTGAAGGTAAATTATAAGGCTCCACTCACTTTGTGATGGTTTTTGTATGGGTGTTCAAGACACTACTATTAAAACTAGTTACATTCCTGAAATCAGTAATTCTTAGAATGTTAATTGAAAAAGGATTTTACAATTTCCAATTTAAAGTACTATAACAATTGTTATAATTATTTTAAATGTTTAATCTAATAGAATAGAAAAATATTAAATAAATAAAGTAAAAAATTGAAAAATCGGAAAAGTATTATGAAAAATAAAAATATTTTTTTTTAATTTTTAAGACAAATATAATTAAATTAGATGTATAGAGCAAAAGGATATGCATACTAAGAGAAAAATTTAAAATTATTAATTTTTGGCAATAGGTTTCTTTTCCTCTCTACATACATAATATATAAAGAAGAAATAAAGAAGGAAAAGAAAAAATTTAATTACTTACCCTCCTTGAAATCAGATGCTTACAAACATTTAATGCCGTCTTAATTGGATTTCTATCCATTTGAATTGTTTTATTATAATACGTTGTTCCTCTCGGCACGTACTGTTGATCAAAATTTAATGTCTATAGGAATAAGATCATATAAAAAAAGAAAGAGAAGTAAATGCTATTGTAATTAAAATTATTATGAAAAATTCTATTATATGAACTAGGAACAAAATAAAAAATAATTTGAAAGACAACACACTCTTTGAAACAAAAATAGGCAAACACACAAGCTCATAAACAGTACGCGAGTAGAATTGTTTAAATATTTTAATGATTCTATTAATTTCACTAGAACTTAAAAGAAAATAGAAGAAATTTTAATGAAATTATAGTGAACACTTGGTCATTCTGGCAAAAACACAGTTAAAGTATTGGTACGTGATTCCTTTTCGTCTGCAAGTGCGATTATATATTGGAGAAGTATTTACATACTTCAGCGGAGCTGTGGTCTACCAGGGCTTTCAAATTACTCGAATTCATTGTCGTGTGTGGGTCACGAGTGAATGCTGTGAGGACGTGCTTCCACTAGTTAGAGCAAAATAGATTCTTACGTGCTAGTTGCGGTGGACTGCTACAACCATCTGTACAATCTACAATTTACTTTATATGCTTTATATTGGGTTATCAATAAATTACTGTCTTAAGCAATGATATCAGAAGCAAATAAGTAAGAAGCAAATAATAATAAATTGGAACGAAACTATCACCGCAATATTGAATGTTAGGAAAGAAAGAGAACAATCAATACAAGGAATCGTGCTGCTGGACTGTATATTTTCTAAAGTATGAAAAATTAAAAGCAATTAATTCCCTCCATTTTCTATTTTCATAAATAAATATTCACAATGAAAAATTGCCAACTTCCGAAATGGCTTACAGTTTAAATCAATTTTAATTTAGAAAAACAAAAATACAACGAAGAAACATTTTTTTTTGGAAATTTCGCAAAAAAATTTTGAAATCATTAAGAACTTAAGTCTATTAATACTTATATTATTCAGTATATTTATATATATATATAAGTACATTTTTAGAGCATTATTTAAAAAGGATTAGGTAATAAATTTGGAAAGGGAGTAAAAATAATGTAAAAAACAAAAAGGATCAATAAAAAATGATAGCAAAATAAGAAGGACTAAATAAAAAATAGTACGAAATTTGTAAAAGGAAAAATTTGAAAGTTATAGGAATGCTTGCTATGAAGATAGTAGACATATACATAGCTCTATTATTTACTGCAAGATATGTCGTTAGGAACTGAAATGCAATGTCTTTAGGAAAGGCTCAACATTATTATATATAATGCTGTGTGCTTTGTTTGATTAAAATTGGGTAAAATACTTGATATCGGATGCGAGGAAGAAATTGGATTGATTCCTTTATTGCTGCGGAAACCATCTAAAGGCAAATTGCGGCCCCGATCACTTAGCTTATAAAATCTGCGCTAACTCGATTTCTACATTTTAGGAAAATTTTCAAAACATATTGGAAGACAACACTTTGGCATGATAGCTGACAAATTAAAATAAAATTACATTCGAATTATATGCCTGAGTTCAGGACACTCCAGCACACGTCTGAAATCCATCCTCTTGATGAATACACACCTTTTGCGATGCTTGTAAGACCGAAAATATGAATGCTGTCTTGAATGAATAGTTTTTCTGTATTTGTCTTTTGAAACAAACAAAACCCTGGTGCTTGCCTAAAGGGTGCACTGCAGTCTCTGCATTCTCCCCAAAAAAGTCGGAAGCGTCGTAATTTTCCAGCCCAGCTTACTGTGGTATTCCGTCAATCTGTAGTGGTTCGAAAAGACCCCGCTTGCCAAACCCTATTCTTTCCTACCCCTATAATATTCTAAAAACGCTTCTAACCATCTGATCTCTTAGAAACTCTCTCACACCTGGAGATATCGTCAGTGCGCCGACCATCTCCTTTTTGATGATTTTCTTAGTTTTCTACACACAGTATGTTTTCTGATTCTTCAGATGGATTGCGATTTGAGAACAAAAGTACTAGTTTCTCTCTTCGCCAACTGCTTAATTTTTTTCCAAACCCCTATTATATCTTCCGGCAAAATATTTTTCTCTTTCAATTTAAAATTTGTTAGTATGCTGCTTAAAAATTGTTCGTCAACTACCCAGAATTTTTGCATTGGCGTACTTTTGTCGCAATCATCCAACCTATACACAATAATGTATATTTGTACAATAGTTAAGAGAGCCATTATATTTGCAACGCGATTATATAATTTTATGTCATATGATTATTTTAATACTTTTAATGACACAGGTGAAAAGATTGATAATCTCTTTCAACTCATAAATTTGTGCACAAGAACAAAAATAATACAGAAACAACAAAAACGTAAGTTAATGTGTGAACATATAAAATTGTGACAGAATAAAAGTTGTTGAAATCAATAAGGATGTAGTCTACTAAAGTCCTATATAAGTTTTATAATTCTTTTTTGGTTTAATTAAGTAGAAACTATTACTTGATTAATGACTTATGTTACGTCGAAAATATTAAAATAATAATAAGCGTAAAATATTATGGATTTTGTGGAAGTTTTTTTTTTTTTTTCAAAAGTTCTTATACTAAACTTATAAGTACATAACTGTAATACAGATTATATAAATAATAGTGTTAAAATGACGGAAGTTTCATCATATAAAGGAAGGTGTAAGTTTTTTAAAACCTGTACATATTTCATTTAGCATCAAGGATATTTTACTTAATTTAATATCCTGTAAATATTAAAATAGAAATTTGTTGTCAATAGATTAATTTAAGATGAAAATTTAATAGGATTAATACGACTTCCAGCTATTAATTTACATAAGTACTTAGGGTTCAAAGTTTAATTGGAATTTGTGTTGTTAGATAAGATATATTAAGTGTCATATTAAATAGCATATTTAATGAATTAATAATAATATTTCTCTCCCTTCGTTTATTCTCATAAATTTTATGATTTTCAAAAATTTTGTAATTGCAATTTGTTCTGTATGGCAGTGCAAATAAAAATTGTTATTTTCTTTCAAGAGAGAAGTTCAATTAGATCCAATTTAATTCGAAATGACTCTACTAAGTATCACTAGATGGAAGTCAAGTTAACTGAATGTGAATCAGGAAAAGCATTTAATTGATAATAATATATGAGTAGTTTTAAAAATCAGAAAATGATACAGGTTTGTGCCTCTTAATAAAGAAAAGCCACTACTGACACCTTAAGAGTATTTGGGATCATATTCTGTATATGCCGTCGTATACATAAGAAAATCTTGGCAAGCTGTTTATGATTGATTAGAAAATAATCATAAGAGGCTCAAAATATTGTAGTAAGTGAATTAGGTTATTATACTTAAAAAATTTTCAAGTTCTCAGAAAACTACATGCATATGTATATCTACATACATGTAAAATAAGGCATTTTCGTATTTTATTCATTCATTTATCTTAATATAACAGTAAATTAAATTATGTCAAAATTACTGAAAATATGTTTTTGTACCCGTACGAGCGAATATTCAAAGAATATTTTTTATAAATTTTATACCATACCGTTTTGTAACGTGGAGAAATGATCGTCGGACATATGTAGACAAAGGTATGAATATTTGATGAGCATCGAATTCTGAGTTGAATTAGCCATAATTGTTGGACTGCAAAAAACCTCATGTATCTAGGCTAACTAAATTGTCAAAAATTAGTTAGAATAATAGCGGTAGGAACTCTTTGTAATTTGAAACCGATAAAAACAGCCGTTCCAGTAACAGCTATTCAACTTTCACTGTAGCTCACTCATACTTTAAAAACTATAAAGTATAGAGTTACTGGATTTTGCTAAGCAATTTTAGTAATAGGGCAACGGTTATGATAAAATTTGGTTCTGGTTGTATAAGTCCTTTTATACGGTCCCATATTCAAATTCAAAATAATGCAATTTCAATTCAAGTTTTGTAACGAAATAAATTTTAAAGCACAATGTCGGCGTATTTAGTAAGTTCTTAGAATTCACTTATATTTTCAAAATCGATAGATATTAAATTATATTTATGTTTAAATATGTAAAACTTTTAATGAACTCGAAAACCAAAAACAAACACTTGTTTTCAAGTTCTCAGAAATAGTGATAACATTAAATTTTTTGAGCTCTTTTAATCTTCACCCTTCATCCATTCAGCTCCTTCTTGTTATATTGTAATGCAATAATACGTAATTGCATTAAAAATTATTTCATTTACACTTTGTTATATTTGAGCTTAGGAATTCAAAACATCCTTCAAGGATATATTTTATAATAAAATTGTATAGTAAATAATAATACGAGTTTATTAAAATGTGTGTGCAAATAACACTTATGTGTTATAACACTTATGTGTGTTGTGTGAAAAATTCACATTACGCGATTGTTTTTTTAATAAAATAATTTTAATATTATGACAGTATAACATTATTAGCATTTTATGTTAGAAGGTTTGTTTGCCTTTGTTTTTATGCGTTTGAAAATTTATCAGAGTTCGAAATAACAGTTTGAAATTTATTCAGCTTCAGTGGTTTGGAAAGTTGGATTGGAATTTCGTTCAATTTGCTTTTTTAGCACTTTTCCAAAAAATTTTTTGAAAAAAGTGCTTATTAGTTTCACTCTGTCCGTCCGTCCGTCCGTCCGTCCGTGGACACTTTTTTTGTTTACAAAACTTTTACACCCTTGAAGATAGAAAGCTGAGATTTCATACGTACATAGATCTTCATTAGAAACTTATTTCCGTAGAACAAAATTTTTACCTATCTCCCCCCCTCTAGAAGTTATACCTCTCCAAAACCCTAAAAATGACCTTTTTTAACTATTTGTGGCAATGAAACCATAAGCATTTTTGAAATTTTGCAAACGCAGAAAGGCAATGGCTTGCTTCCCCTAGCGCGGTATACTATAGTTAGACTTTAGAAAAACAAAATGGCCGTTCAAATTTACCGTTATCTAAAGTTCTTTTTTTCTAAATTTTTGATCTCGTTTTTCTTCTAGACCCCATAATATAGAGCTTTGAAATTTCAGGGGCTTTTAGACATTA